CATTTCCACATCAGGTGGAGCTCAAAGTGAACCTCGATGAAGTCAAAGCCAATCTCAGAGGTCTGAAAAATAGACCGGGAACTACGCAACCTGCAGATGTAACCAACTGGATTCGCAAAAAGCCCAATTACCCAAACAATATCGTCATGACTTACGCATTGACACAAAAGGTTGAGCTCGTTCCATTCCATTTCTTCTTGGGTAGAGCATCTGTTAGGCCGATTGACTAACCCATTCTTGCACAGAAATTCTTTGCGCTTGCCAACCTCGTGAAGCAGCATCCGACTGATGATCTTGTCTCGCAGTTGAAGACACGAAAACTCATCTCGAAGGAGCAAGTCTTACGCGAAAGTAAGAACACCTCATGTTCCCTTCCTTTGTTTAGAATATACTAATTTAGACCCCCAGTGCAAAATCGCGCAAATGACTCGGACATTGTCGCGACGTCGAGTGTTATGTCACTCAAATGCCCTCTATCTACCCTACGCATTCAGGTGCCTTGTCGCTCTATCGTTTGCGCACACAACCAATGCTTTGATGCATCTTCATTCCTTGAATTGCAGAAACAAGCTCCAACTTGGACATGCCCTGTGTGTTCCAAATCGACTAGCTTTGAGTCTTTGCAAGTTGACCAGTAAGTCCACATCCCCTTGGGCATATTTATCTATTTTCCTGACTGATTGCATAGGTACGTTGATGACATCCTTCAATCAACGTCGCCAGACATCGATCAAGTCACCGTTGAACCTGACGGTGTATGGTCAAGTCCCACTGATTCCGACGCAACAAAATTGGGAGGGATGACTCCTGCATCAGATGACGATGACGACGACTTGATCGAGATCAGCGAACCAGGAATGCCCGTTGTGAAACAGGAACCGGGGCCCCCAAATGTCGCCTTGGAGCGAACACCTGCGCAGTCGCAGTCACAATCACGTGAGGCATCAACCCCATCCTCTGCGATGCGCATGTCCAGCAAAAAGCGACCTATTGCCCAGGTCATCGACCTAACTGAAAGCGGCGATGAAGATGAAGAGTCTCATATTCCACCTCCTAAAAGGCTAGCTCCAAGTCTGCCATCCCGAGCTTTTTCTCATCAGGATTACCATGTCCCGCCTGCCAGCAGCCCTCTGAATGGCGGGTCATACCCACCATGAATTTAGATATTTATTCTAGCCAAGCTTTGTGAAGCTGATGACCTAAACAAAGACTTTGGTCATTTCTCTTTCTGATGCATATTTCCATGGAGTTTCTGGCGGTGGGGGGGAGTCTTCCAAGGTATCACAAGTGGCTATGTATCTAGGAGGGCTTGTATTTTCTAGTTTGGGCTAGTCAATTAGCCTGGAAATATATTGACTATTCCTCTTATTTTAAATAACACACAATGTATAGAATGTACGTTGTGCTTGTATGTTGTATAGATCAGGCCAATATCAGGTGGATTCCGGTGTGGGGAGTTTAACCTACGACTCCCTCCCCCCCAACTTCCCCCAACTTCCCCCGACTCCCCCATTTTCCAGTCCTTCCCACCAATACTCCCTCATTCCGTAAATTGACCGGATCTGTCGTTCATTCAGCCTCTGGATTTGCTCACTTTGGCCTCTCCATAATGTCATTCGATTCAACTTCCCAGTTAAATACCGATCCAAATGCTCGCGTCTTCAGCTCCTCATGCTTCGACTTCCTACTCATAGAATTGGTGCCAATGGCCGAGCGTATGGCGAAGGAACTCGTGACCGAGGGAAAGGAAATTGAAGACGAAGAGGTTAGAGAGACAACCTTCTTTCGTCTAGAGTCTCTGGGTTATCGTGTTGGGCAAGGCCTTGCGGAGCGGTAAGCATGAAGACCTCCTTTTGCAGCTCCTTTGCTTTTCTTGTGCAGTCCGACGGCGTGCTAACCTGTGTCAATATCTATAGCTTTGCCCGAGACCGTCCTCGATTTACCGATAATCTCGATGTGATCAAGTTTCTTTGCAAGGATCTGTGGACGGTCCTATTCAAGAAACAGGTGGATAATTTGAAAACGAACCATCGGGTATGTGCAATACGGAGTGGAATGGTGGTCGAGTAGATGCGACACAATTATACTTGCACAGGGATGTCCATGAAACTAATGCCGATATTGAATAGGGAGTCTATGTTTTGACCGATAGCACGTTCCGGCCGTTTGGTAGGATGAGCATGGCGGTGCGGAGTGAAGCAATATCCATGGCGCAGGCAGTAAGCTTATCCCCTTTTCCCTAAATCAATGATACCTCGGCTTATAGATTGGCCTAGTACCTCTGGTTTCCTTGTGGTATCATCCGGGGCGCGTTAGCGAATTTGGGGATCAATACCACCGTGCAGGCCGAGACCTCCGATCTACCAGGTGCAACTTTCCAGATCAAAACTCTCCAGCCTCGGCCTTGAACGTGAAAATGGTTGCGCCTGGGCCTGGGCTAGCCTTTGACTCAACCAAATCTACGCCTACTCTATGACTTATGACGGTTCCATCCAAGGCGTTGTGGTTCCTTCAGCTTACTACAAGGATCATTTGATCATTCCCCAAAGTCTCTTGGCTACATGAGACAAGATACCGAAAACGCGCAAATACGAATGGTGAAACCTGTACTTCTTTCCATTTCAGGTTGGTTACTATATTTGTGTGCCAAACCTACCCATCTGGTTTCTGACCGTACACTACTCGTGTCTGCTCATTGTTCATAAACTCGTGGTCTCGCATTTAAAGCCTATCTTTCCGAGAGAAGATTGATTAGCAACGCTCTGCCATTTTCCGGTGTCATCGCAGTCGTGGAGAAACCAGCGAGAAATCTACCGACACAAAAAGACCCAACCGATATATACGGAGGACAGGGGACAACGGACGGGGGGGGGTCTTACTTTGGTGCAGAGTTCTTGGCGAACTCAACGCCCTTCTCGATGTTGCCTTGAAGTCCCTTGATGCAAGCCTCAAGAAGCTTCTTCTCCTGCTCGGTCACACCGTCAAGAATGTTGATGGCCTTCTCAGCACCGTTGGGCTGGATCGAATATGTCAGTTAGTTATCTTAAGCACACTGGAAATTGAAGACTTACACCGAGTTCCACGGGAGTGGAGAAGAAGTCAAGACCGGTGGCCTTGGCAATCTCATCACCGCCAGCAACACCGGGCAGGTAGACGAAAGTAGGCTCAACAATGCCCTTTTCGCCCTTGGAAGCCTTGAGGACAGCCTCGGCGAATCTAGTATATGTCAGTCACTGTGGTAGCTCCGGGTTAGCGGGTGAAACAGACCTGAAACCAGCAAAGGCCATAGACAGAGTAGCGGAACCTGCGCCGTCCTTGGCCTTGACGACCTCGTCACCTCCAAATTGGACACCTGTGAAATGTCAGCAAATGCCTCCCACGAAAAGGACTGTTCACGTACGGTTTACAAGAGCATCGTAACGGTCAGCAGGGATCTGGAAGCTGGGGGAAACCTTGCTAAACAGAGGAACAATGGTCTCGCCAGAGTGACCACCAATAACGGGAACGGTGGCATCAGCGGCGTTCTTCACGCCGGAGAACTCCTGGGTGAAGGTTTCGGCACGAACAACGTCCAGGGTGGTCACACCGAACAGACGCTTGGGATCAAAGACGCCGGCAGCCTTGAGGACCTCGGCGGCGATGGGGACGGTGGAGTTCACAGGGTTGGAGATAACGAGAATGAAAGCCTTGGGGGCAAACTCGGCGATGCTCTCGACGAGGCCCTTCACAATTCCGGCATTAACCTTGAAAAGATCGTCACGGGTCATACCGGGCTTGCCTAGATGTCACCATAGACGTTAGCAAATTACCACATCCAAAATTGCGGGTCGACTAACGGGGAATTCCGGCGGGGATGACAACAACGTCGGCACCGGTCAGAGCGAGCTTCAATCCATCATCCTTGGGGAGGTAACCAGTGATTTTCTGGTCCGTTTGTTAGCGGGCTTATTTGCGATGCTTTGGAGTACACGTACAGCGACAGAAGAGATGTGAGAGAGATCTGCAGCCACACCGGGGGTGTTGACAACATCATAGAGGGCAAGGTCATCAACCAAAGGGGATGCCTTGAGCAAGAGGGAAAGAGGCTAAAGGATCAATTAGCTGAGGCTCATAAGAGACCTTATAACGAGGAGTGGGGGGTGGGGGACATACCTGGCCAATGCCACCAGCAGCTCCGAGAACAACTAATAACAAATCAGCAAATGATAGACAAAACAACGAGAATAACATACCAGCCTTGACCATGATGAATTATTATGTGTGTATGTGTAGAGAGGGAGAAAAAGGGGAGAAATATGGGGGAGAAGAGAAGCTTAGAGAGGGGACCGGCCGATTTATAAGAGGGGCAAGTGCTGAGAGGGGCAACCCCGGAATACCTAGGTACCTAGTGTGTTTACTCTCATATCGGATTCATGTGAAGTGACGATGTTGACATTTATTCATTTTTATTTACCTTGATTCACCTTGATTTGGGCTATATTTTACTACCATATTCACTATCTACTACTAATATTGTATCTTTTTAATAGAATCCTTCCCATATTACACTCTCTCATCTCTCTATAATACTCTTCATCAAAGACCAGATAAAAAGCTCCTTGACCTTTCTCCAGACTTTTCGGCAATTCTCGTCCCTTAACATGGATTGTTCCATACTTCCCCGGGCTATCGGGTTGTCATATCGGGAAAAGGCGGACTATATTCTCATATACAACCGGATATTGTGGCTCGGGCCGACCAGTCGGTTGTGAATCAATTTTACTATACCTTGGGCTGAGTTCTTTTCCGTTCCGGTTAGCAGTAGGAATTGTTCTTGTTTTTTGCTTTAGAAGGTCTCGAACAGGACACTAGGTTTTTGTTTTCCTCTGCCCTCGGAGCAAGACTGCTAGATTACATGGTTTCCAAGTCCAGCATGGCGTTTTACATACGCCTATCAAGTCTCCACCCTCCAAATCCCTGATCCTTCATGATCCACAATTCAGCCTCATCTCGAGACAAATTTACTCGGACTCCTCAGCCTTGCGGGCCTTGGAACCACGGAGCTTCTGGGCAGGAGCATCCTTCTTGGGGAGCTGCGAGCGGCGAACGGCGCTCACACGGGCGACGGCCTCCTCACGGAGATCAGCACGGTAGCTGTTCTTAGCGGTCTTGTCGGCAACACCCTTGTAGATCCTGGAAAGTAGATAATGGTCAGCACTGGGTCGTGAACGCAACATATGCAACATGTCTTGAAAAGAAAAGAATGAGCAGTCGGGTTTCGCTTACTTGCGGGTGGAGGTGCTGGGACCGTAAGTCACAGTGACCAAGTTCTGACCGGGTTGCTGGGGGTTGCTGGGCTTCTTGGTGGTCACGGCGACACCGTTCTCAGTAGCCTGGACACCGACAGCCTAAAGGTAGAATGATTTTAGCGCCGTATCATATTGAAAAAGTAACAAAGTAAAACACAAAAAAAAGTAGGACGTCAGCAGTGTAGGGCATAATTACCTTGTTGTTGGCATAACCGGCATACTATAAAGCGCCAAAAGAGACCGTCGTTAGCCATGCATTCCCGGAGGATCATCCATTCCGTCTAATTCCCGAGGCCCGTACCTTGTAGGAGTGCTTGTTCAGCAGGTTCAGGGGGTCCCGGGAGAACTGGAAGCCACCGCCGGAGTTGCGGTTAACCAGGAAGGAGTTCTGGTTGCCTATTCCAAAGATTGATGAGCTAGAGTTCGGTTTCCAAAAGCTTTGACGTAAAAATTCGAAAGGGAAAAACGCGGAGGATCGGACGTACGGGTGATCTGCCAGACCAGATCGTTGGAGATGTTTGAGGCCATTGTGATGAGAGGGGATGTTGAGTTGGAGAATTGAAAGATCAAAATCGCTATCAAAACCGTCTACACGTCGATCAAATTGTGTGTGTCTCGAATGCCAAGACCTCAGATTGGACGGGGTCTCGCTAAGGCGGCTACTTTAGGAATAGTCTTGTTGCCTTGTTGCCTTGATGCCTGTGTGCCTGAATTACATCATGTGTAGTTGCCTGTTAAGTAAGGCAGAACTAACAGCTTCCGGCGATCTCCAGGCTGCCAATTAATATGAACGCGATGCTGACGTTGCCCTCCAAAACTCTCCTGTATAACCGCTCTAATCTTCCTATGCCTTCTTCATCAACGGCTTATTGCCTGATGGGACACGTCATCTCTTAGTTCTTCTTTGGTGATAAACTCTCTCAAGGGCGCCAACTTCTCCTTACACTGCAAAGCTCTATACTACGTTGCTACTACACGCCGGAATCTTCACCGGTATCACTCATCATCATGACCTACATTCTCTTTTATTTCCTACTCTTTTCAGTTATTATCGTCGGGACAGGTAGGTCAAATGTCTTTCCAACTCCAAAGGAAACAAAGCAATCATTCATGACAGATTTTGTTCTAATTGCACTATAGCGTTATACCTCACTCGGTCACGATGGATCCCATTAGTCCAGGTGCCTGATTATCTCTATCACCGCCTTCCCTCAAGTTTTACCGCCGATCTCGAGGCCGGCCTGAGCTCATCACAATTCGACATTACTGCCAATCTTGCAGACGGGGATTTAAGGGCTGGCTTGGATCAACGAGCAAAGACCGAAGTGATCAAAATCATGAAGAGTCGAAAGGTCAATTTTGATGAAGCACGGCGTATATACACGGAGCAACGGTTTGCAAAGAATAACATCGGACCTGACGGCCGGCCAAGGGATCCCAAATTCGTCTCTTTTTCGTGATTAGCCTACAGCCATGTCACCAGCCCTAACGTGTTTCCTTGGCCATTGTCAGAGCGGATCTTGCTAGCAAAATACGTACAATTAGAGGTCATAGCTTTTCCCCAGTAGTATCTCATTTGTGCTATCAGAGCGCTTGTGGTACTCGGATTTACTATTTTGGCCGGTGAATTTCTTGTCTGTGAATGATCCTTGGCAATTGAAACCTATTAAGTTGACGTGCTATCAAAAATACAAGTCTGTCTGTTTTGTCCGTGTCTAATAGACCCGTAATATTACATTTGACCATTCAGCACTGCCAACAGCCAGTCAACGCCAAGTCACGGTTTGATCCAACCCCATAAACATGTTCAAGGTAGCCAAGCAAGATGAGAACATCAAACACATAGACCAGCGCTTTCGTCCTTGAGTCATCAAATCATGTCAAAAAAAAAACTCCGCACCTCCCATAGTAACAAAAGCGTAGCTTTTGGGGGGGAGATAGGCTTTCAAGACTGAAAGCCACTAAGAATCACCGATTACCTCCGTATCCGGGTTGTTGGAATCCCGGTGGCAATGAAGGGGCCCCAGCTGGAGGTCCAAATCCAGGCGGCCCAAACCCAGGGGGGGCTGCACCCTGTGGGACGAAGGGCGGCTGGCCTGCACCATTGAATCCAGGTGGTAAAAAGGACTGTGGGCCACCATAACCAGCTTGAGAAGGCGGAGGTCGGGCTGGAAGTCCGGGAGGTGGGGTATTGAGTGAAGGGACGGGAGGTGGAACATGTCGGTTTGGAGGGGGAACGGTTTGGTAGGGCATTGGAGGGGGCGCACTCTGGTAGGGCATAACTGGTGGCATGCTCCGGTTCATGCCTAGATCAGGTGTTTGTGATGGGGCTGTGCTCAAGGGTCGAGAGCTGTCGCTGTTCGACATAACAGGCGTTGCTGATACACCCGGGCCAGCGCCAGGGAACTGCGGAGGTTGCTGGGTCGGTGGCTGTACATTATGCTTACGAGCCTGAGCTGCCAACATTCGCTCCGCTTCATCGCCATGTCTTTCGCCTTTTCCATCCTTCTTGTACGCATACTGTACCGAAACCTGTTTGTTCATCAGGTATTGGCCATTCATGTTGGAAATGGCCGCGTCCGAGGATTCGAAATCGGCAAAAGAAACAAATCCATATCCCTTAGAGAGATTGTTGTCATCACGGGCAATCTGTAATGATAGTAATAAAGAAGCTGTTAACAATGTGCATCTTACTTGTATTTTGGGAGAGGGGGGGGGGGGGGGGTCNCGGATTGACAAGATTGCCAAACCGGCTGAATGTATCAAAGAGAACTTGCTCAGCAACCATAGGATCAAGATTACCCACAAACAGCTCTGCGCCAATTTCCACAGTCTTTTGTTTATCGGCTGATGCCTTGTTAACACGAATGGGCTTGCCATGAAGACGGATTCCATTCATGATCTTTGATGCATATTCGGCATCTTCCTCGCTAATGAACTCGACAAATCCATACCCCTGGTGCAACTGCGTGACCCGGTCTTTGGGCAGATGGACATTGACGATGCGCCCAGCCTGCAGCATCAATTCCCATACTAGGCTGTCTGAGACCCTTTCATCGAGGTTTCCGATGTACACGGTTGCCTCTTTATCTTGCTCCCTATGTTAGGTTAGCATCAGAGTCGTGTGGTGAGGAAAGAGGGTCTTACCAATGCCTTGCGTTGGACATGGCGCGGGTGAATTAATTGGAGAGAGGGGAGGAAAATAGCTCCCCGTAAAGGAAGAGGACTCAAAGATCTGAGTAAAATCAATAGGCTGTGAAATTTCCAGTGGTAAGACTTTAGACCAACAAATTAGAGACTAATTTGAGGGTAAGTGGAGAGGTAGTGAGGTGTGAAAGTGTTGAAGTGAAGGAGAGCCGGAGAGCTGAGGGAAGACCAGTGACCTTTCCCGAAAACTTTTGATTCCGCAAATCCTCCCTGTTTCCACTTCATCTGTCAACCACATCTCCCACTTGTTCACTTGAACCGAGTTTAAACCCAATTTCGATATATTCTTCTTGATCTTCTTGGTCTTCTTGAAACCCTCCACAACTTCACTTTCATAAATTCACAATGGTTCAATTCTCCGAGGAGACCAAGGTTAGTCGCAACCCCGATCCTCCTCGAGACTAGGTTTCTAATTCTCTCTTTTTAATCTATTTAGGAGCGCGTCTCAAAGGTCATTGATATTTCTCGGGTTGCGATTCACTAGTGAGACTCATAGCACCCTTCAAATCATCCTCCGAGCTGACCGACGATAATCATCTAGCGGATACTTGCCTCTGATCGTCTATCTGGGTATGTATATACATACTCCTTCGGCGTTTTCAACACAATAAGTTAACACAAAAAAAAAACAGGCTACACCTACAGCGAGCCCAAGCCGACCTTGTTCAGGTACGCTCCAAACTCCTTAGGTTCCAGCTGTCATGACTAATTTGGTACCTAGATTGTTCTCGCCTCTTGCGTAAACTACAACATACGGGTTGACTGGAGAACCGATACGGGAATATGTGGATGGGGTGGATATGGCCCAGTATCTTTTTGAGTGGCCTTTCAATTATTCTCTCTGTGAGGGATGATGGGTTCGAATATCTGGGTCTCACTTTTTGAGGCTTGTGTAAGCTGGATGATTTTGTATTTTTAAGTCTTTGGCCGAATATATGTTCACTTTGGTACGGAAATGCTGTAACCCTATGATAATTTAAACACTGCGCTTTTGTATACATACATATATGTATTTAAGAAAGAGAATCAAGAGGTTATTGTGTGTTTTGCACACATGTTACTAATTGTTACTCTACCCCCGGGCTAGTATGTACGGAGTTACTCGGCGGTCACATGTTCTGACATTCTGGGAATATTCTCTATCTCATCTTCTCTCTTTATCTTCCTCTTCTCTGACATCATTCTCCATACACTCTCGCCCTCTATCTCTATTTCTGTCTCTGGGTGTTCCAATTTCCTATCTTCGTCTAAGGCAGGTTCATGACTAGTCAAGATGGCTTTTCGTCATCCTTTGTGGAGACCATAGCAGGATTCACAGCGGGAATTGTGTCAACTCTGTCGCTACATCCTCTCGACATGGTCAAAACGAGGCTACAAGGCAAGCTGAAATATTATCTTGACTCCCATTGGGGTATAGAGTAACTAACCCTGTTTTGATAAATGTAGTCGATCGATCATCTTCCCGATTTGGGGGTTCACTGCGAATCATTCGCAATATCTTCTATCATGAGGGTGGCTGTGTCGCTTTCTACCGGGGACTTACCCCCAATCTTATCGGAAATTCCACAAGTTGGGGATTGTACTTTTTATGCTACAGCAGCTTGAAAGATACTATTCGAGTCTATCGCGAAGAGAGGGAGGAGATTCTCACATCGTCTGATTATCTTCTCGCATCTGGCAGTGCAGGTATGCACATATTATGCCCAATATAGTATTGCTCCTCCGTTCCTCAATTAACCTCTCAATTCCCATAGGAGTTATTACATCGGTCCTCACCAATCCAATCTGGGTGATCAAAACTCGCATGTTGTCAACAGGCTCCCATGCTCCAGGAGCGTATTCTTCATTTGTATCTGGGGCAAAACAAATATACAAGGGGGAAGGAATACCGGGCTTCTACCGAGGTCTCATACCAGCCCTATTTGGCGTCAGTCACGGTGCCCTGCAGTTTATGGCATATGAGCAGTTGAAACTCTTCAGATTGCGGTCGATGAATAACATGGGCTCAATTGAGAGCAGTCATTTGGGCGCCGAACGGATGCTGGGTAATGTTGATCTTTTTGTCATCTCCGGTCTATCAAAAGTCTTTGCTGGTAGTGTGACGTATCCTTACCAAGTAATTAGGTCCCGGTTGCAAACTTATGAGGCCCATCTGATTTACCGTGGGGCCATTGATGTCTTTTCCCAGGTATGGGCCCAAGAAGGAATCGCAGGTTTCTACAAAGGTCTTGGTCCAAATCTGTTCCGGGTGCTTCCAAGCACGTGGGTGACATTCCTGGTATACGAGAATACCAAGGTCTACCTATCCCGGCTGGCGCAAAATCCATGGAATACTTCCTACTAATTCCGACCCATGCTTATTGTATCAATTCGATCTTACCAGAGACCACTTGCCTTGAATTGAGCTTTCAGCAATGTCTTGACTTTGTATATGCAGCGATTCACCTTATAACCTGTTGGGATGTATATGGAATGCACTACGTGATAGGGTCCTGGCTTAGTTGGATCTCCGCTGCTTCCACCCTACCCCCTAATTTCCCCTCTACAAGGATATAGATGAAACCGCCTATTTACTCTAGTGGTTAGTCCTCGTGATTTGCTTTTTTTTGGAGTTTGAAGCGGAACAGGGGAGCTACGTAGATCCTCCGACCCTAGGACCTGTGAGAGGGAGATTATCTAGAGGATCTATTATGAAATGTAGGGTGCTCTGGAAAACCTCTGTGTTGCGCAGAGAGAGAAAAACTATCTATAGATAATTTTGCTAAGCCCACCACTATCTACCAGGTGTTAGTGGGCCACGGCGGATAACAAATTCTTCAATTCAAAATGTATTAAACCACTATTTACAAATAACCACCATGACTATCTATGTGCCAATTTGCACCTATACTATCTCTTACCGCTATTAAAGCCTGATACTTAGTTTCGATTGAATCCCTTACTTATTGCTCTCTCTATATAGCCTGCAATTCCTTAGCTTGCTTAGCTTACTTCCACCTAGACTTCCGCACGACCCAGTTTGGGTCGAAGGTCTCAACCCAGAACCTGCCCAGTCTGGGTCTAGGTCGAAACCTTATAACCCAGGCCTAACCCAGACCTAGTGACTAGGGCCCTAGAAAACCTAGTATAGCCCTAGTTCGACCTAGTTTCTATATAAATTATAATATAAATATTTAAATAATATACTATTATTTTCCCCTATTATAGTTTCTATATCGAAATACTATACTCTCTACTAATAAGGTAAAGGAAATTTTAAGAAATAACCTTATTCTTTAAAGTAATATATCTAGTTTAAGATTAATTACTTCTTTAAATACTTTATTTTATATAGAAAGGTAGTATATATTAGCTACTAGTTTTCTTAAGTATAAGATAGTATCCTATTTAAAATATAAAATATATCTTAAGTTATAGATATATATATTTAATATATATTTTTATCTATAGAGTAAAATAATTTTTAAATTTATTTATTTCTCTTCTTCTATTTAATTTTAGAGCTTATATAAGTATAGATAGATATCTAGTAAACTTTTATATTTAAAACTACTTATTACCTCTTAATCTACTTTATATATATAATTTAAAGGGAGGGTAGGAAGAAATATTTTAAAGAGAATTAATAAAACTAGGATAGGAATTAAGATTTAATTAAGGTTTTACTTAGGTTATCTTAAAGATATTTCTTTAGACTTATATAATTTTAATATAATAGATTAATTAATAAAAATAGGATAATTTATTATATTTAATATATTAATATTCTTAAATATTTCTATAACTTTAATATATTTCTACCTTTATATATTAAAGAATTTCTCTCTTTATATCCTTTTATATATATTATATATTATTCTTATATTATATCTTAAAGCTAACTTTCTAACTTTATATTATTATTCTATAATAGTAATCTTAATAATCTCTTATATATTTAATTAGATAAATTATATTATTTAAAAATTAATATATAATTAATTAACTTAAGTTTCTAAAGATTAGATAATTCTCTCGTAATCTTTTTTTTTATTAAAATATATTAGACCTAACTATAAGAAAGGGTTTATTCTATATAATATAATATTATATAATAATTTTATAAACTAATAGTTAAAGATTAATTATAAAAAGAAAAGTAAGTTTAAATAGGATTTAAATTATTAATTATATAAAGATTTAAAATAGCTATTATTAAATAACTTAAAATATTAATAATATATTAAAGATTATATATAAATATTATAAGAAGATCTTAAAGTATCTTTATATATTAAACCTAAATAATATAAATAAAGTATAATATTAAATTTATAATATATTAACTATTTAGAAATATTAGAAAATAATCAGTTATTCATAATTAGAAAAAAGGAAGAAAGTAGAGATTATAAATTTCTTATAAAGAGAGATATATTTTATATTATAAAATTAAGTAATTATACTAATTTATTATTATTTTAAAAAGAAGTTTTAGTAAATATATTTTTCTTATAAAAAGATTAAAAAGAAGATCTCTTTTAATTTCTTACTTTTAACTAGCTTTTATTCTATTTAATTAAGTATCTATTATTTAAATATATTATTAATAAAACTTATTCTACCCTATTATTTCTAATAATCCTTATCTATTAATATCTATTATTAATTAAATAATTTAATTAAAAACTAATAATAATATATCTTTTATATACTATCTTTTAGTTTAAAAATATCTATTATATTTAATTATTAGATATCTTTATTTTTATAGGTATTTATAGCTATTATTAATTATTTTTTTAATAATAATTAAGTATATTATAAGATACTATTTAGATTTAAACTACTTTATAATATATATATATTAACTCTTATTTAAATAATATTCTTATAAATACTTTAATAAAGTATAATATTAAAGATAAAGTATTTAGATTAATAATAAATAATATATTAAATAATAAGATATTAGTTACTA